TCAATAACATGTATACTGCTTAGCAATGCAAAGTCATTTGAAAATGACAATCGTGCAACTTTTCATCTAATGCAAGTCGGAAACTTTTCCTTTATGATAAAGCACAGCACCTGGTTCTGCCTGCACACAGACCACAAAGCACAACAATAAATGCATTCTTGATTGTTGTTTGGGTTTGAGATCCATTGCACCCCACATTGCATCGGTTCGACAGTGAGATATGTATGTACCCAGGTGGTAGAATAATATGAATAGTGTTACCTTCTTTGAGAATGTGTGTGCCGGTTGGTAAAGCTGATTATCAAACTATGCCAGCGCTTCCAGTCCTTTACACTGTCATCACCGTCACACAGAACGGCTGCCTCTCGCTTGGCTACAGCCAGGGTTATAAATATACATGTGTTTATCATCCTCGAGAGGCAAAGCACAACTAATCCCACCTCCATTCATTTTCATCTAGTGGTGTATAAATGTGAGGCTCTGTCTTATGTGCATTTCTGCATTTGCATTAATGTGAAAGGAGGCATGATGCATCTCATTTATGACTCCCGAACTTCCTCAAGGGAAAGCTGTCGCAATTGACTGTGGGCGCGGGTGTGGGTGTCGCTCGTAGTAGAGAAATGTTTGGGGACGGAAACGTTTACAAAAAGAACAGTTTTCATATTTTGTTCTAAATCTTTTCAGTGTTTATGCATAGAACAGATTATGTCATAAGTCTAGTGAAATCTACCGGGAATAAGACCTTTTGGTACATTTTGGGAAATGTGTTTAAATGGCAGGATTCCGGCAGATGTTTGCAAATCACATTCATCGCTCATGCGTGAAAAGCAGGGACAATAACAAGGAAGATTAGAAACAAAAAAAGAGAAAATATATGGGGAAGAGACTTCATTTATTACCAAATAAAGACAAGCTGCATAAAACATGAAGATTAGCAGCAGATAGATGCAACTTTCATTTTCTAACATTATTCATTCTGATTTGAAATCACAGAAATACAATCAAACACTCAAATGTCTAATCCTCAGTAGTAGCCCAGTGGCTGTGGGGACAAATGACCATCTGTTTAGCCATGTGTTTGGGTCATTACATGGATTTCATTAGTTTTTCACTGAGAGCAGATTGTGTCTGATCAGTTTGTCTCTTCCCATGAGCTCACATTTCCAAAATCACCATAAATCTAATACACAGTATTTCGCTCAACTTTTTAAAAAAATGTAGAAATAACATTTTACTAGAGCCAAGCTTCAGAGCTTTAATCCAAAATAGTGCCCAACTTTTCAAAACGGGCTCGTTCCGGCTTGCTTGTGATGGTTTTGGTGACGTCTTTGAGTTTTGGTTCTTGTTTTCATTGTTATTCTAGTGGTGTTGACTTTTTGTCTGCCCAGCGCTTCCCGTGTTCCTTCTGTCTCGTCTGTCTGCTTTCTGTGTGGCATGTTTACTGTGAGTCTTGTCGCCTTCATGTTAAACATGGTTTTTGTTTGTTTCCTGTTTGACTTTGATAGGTTTCTTCTGGCTGCTTTGTTTTATCTTGTGTCCTGATGTGATTTTTCTATCCGATTATTGCTGTAGCTTGCATATTCTCCAGTTTTTAATTATATTCTTTGTGTTTGTATGGTCACGTTTGTCCTCTGCTGTCATATGTTAGTCAAACAGGCATGCACTCAAAACATTTTTTAGGGTGTGGAGACCAGTCAGTGAGCTAATGGCAAATTTCTGATCTCTAATTAATAGTGTGTATTTCCAGACTGGTTGGGGAGGTATAGATATGTTGATGCAGCAAAAGCATGCTTGCAAATGCTAGCAGGTTGCTGTTGTTCCCCATAGTTTATATGGAAAACGGTGAATGTCAGAAAAAATACTCAACAAGTAGTTGTGAAAAGTGCGATCAAAACTGGCAATTTCTACCGCTTACCTTCAAAGACAAAGTTTCACCTTTTGAAATGTATTGTTTGAAGTGGTAAGATAGAACTTTTACTGTGAAGGCGCATGCTATCCGTTTCCATTTTGTGTGAACTTTTTTCATGTTTTATCTACAGCTTGAAGAGTAAAAAGGCTAAAAAGTCTGCAGCTTTCATGCAAACTACAGGCGACTATAGCAATTTGCAAGGGATCTCACGGGGAGCTTTTTGGTGCAAAACCCAACTTGCAAATCATTTCGCTGGGCAGTGAGCTGACCTGTGAGAAGGTGTGAGGAGGTCACTAACTGGTCTCTAGGCCTGTGTGACTGAGGCCTTATGCTTTTGCAATGTTTCTTCCATGTTCTTTTACAGACGTGGATCATAGTGACAGGCTTCAGCTGCAGTTTCTGAGACAAACTTTTTAATCAACAGTGAACTTCCTCCTGATTTCACTGGGTACAGATGCATTTTTTTTTACTTTATTGCTCCCCAACTTTTGAAATCAGTCTATGATTCATGCCACATGCCGAAACATGATCCAAATCTTTCAAACCTGACACTACGCTTTAAGCAATACACCCCCCAGTGTGTAGAAGACTGGAGGAAATGCGCTTAAGCTTGCACGGATTCTATTTTTTTAATATTAGTAGTATTTTTGGAGACATTTAGTTGCAGATAATTATCTGTGAACGACCTAATGAACCCACATTAGTGCAGCAGGAAGCCATCGGACTCATGTCATCAGCGTATTTAAAAATATGAGAAGAGACGTGACATTCATTAGTGTAGAGTTTGTATAAAATCCAGTACTGGCCATTTTTGCTAATGAGAGGACACGGTCTCTCTGCTCACTAAAACGACAATGAAATTATTCATCCAAAAATTGTTATTTAAATGTTACTTAAACAGATGACTTTGGGTTTGCACTCTCTCCAGTGTAGACACCAATCCCAACACAAAAAGAGCCTCAGTAACTATAAAAAAATTAAAATTGTTCGCCTCTGCTGCGAAGCCATCTCTGATATCTATAAAGAAATGTATATGATATTCGTATGTTTCAGTGAGACTAGCTGTGCGTAAGACACCTCCACCCCCACCACCTGTACGGTTGGCGATCCGATCCCAGGCTGGAAACAGTCCCAAAGTATCCTTGGGAATACACTGAACCCCAGATTGCTCCTAGTGTGTGCATCATGTGAATGTTAGATAGAAAAACTGTAGAAAAAAGTGCGTTTATGAATGTCTGTGTCGATAGATAGTTTTGTTTTTTTTACTAATGAAATATCTGAAGGAATTATGAATTCATACCACCACTCAGTACTTGTAGGAAACTTAATTATCTTTGCGCCTCAAACAAACACAGTGGTGAAATCTCAGGCAGCAGATTCCCCTTTGATGCCATGAGCTTGACGGCAAACTGATAACCAGACAAATCAAAGACAAATGAAAACTTTCTAGTTTTCAGACTCAGTAACATGTAGAAACTCCTAAAAATCATCATAAAACACTTATTTGTGTAACAAGTTATAACTATGCACAACATTTTAAATTTGAAGATAATCAAAAATCTCTTTGAAACACATTTGAGCTTTGAAAAATAATACTAAGATGAAGCCTGTTTGTTTTTTTGACTCAGCAGGGATGATTTTAAATACGAGAAGCTGAGAATATTTTATATTGAAAGCCATATGGAATCCTAGAGTGCCTTATTGCGTTATATTGCATTATATGTTCACATTTCCCCATAAACTGACATAGAAAAGGAACAAAATGGTGCGTAACATTTGACAAGAATGCAGGAAATGAAACGTCTGATGCTTGAAATAATCAGGGGGAGGGGTGTCTGGTCCTCTACCTTTCCTAAACACATGTTATCTATATTCTTACATATAACGTATAATGAGAGAGATATTGATTTTGTGGATTATCTGTATTTTTTATTTTAAACTCGTTTATTAATTTCTGACTTTGAGACACACCGGTGTGTCTACTGGCCAATTAGATTTTTCACAGGTCCAGCAGCCCCATAATGAGTCATTTAAACAGGTAATGCTCGTCGTTGCCAGTGATACCCCGTCCCACGCTGTTTACAGTAGATCTTGCTCATCAGTAGATGAAAGGCACAGTCGTTTAAATGTATTTCCTGTTAATTTACACAAATCTTTTGTGTCACATCATGTGTCAGATAGGTGTTAAGCTGTTAACAGTTGAAAATTACTGGAGCAATTATTTATTCACACTTAAATGGGATCATCTGTATTTGTATAGCAACACACCTAACACCACTATTAGACTCAGCGCTCTCAACTTCAGCCTAGTACATCACTCCATCCGTTGTTTTGGCTGCAAACAGAAGCAGCTTCACTTCTTTTGTCTACAAACAGCCTTTCGTTAACATTGGACTTATCTTAAAATCATGTCAATCTGTCAGACTGTGCACTGCTTACTCTGGGCTTCTCTCTGGCTTAACTGTGATGCACAAACAAGCACTGATGTCTGGACTTGCTGAAAAGCTCTGGTTTTGTCACCGCCTTGTTCACTGACTGAAACAGATGCTCGAGAACTTTGTTCTTCCCCTTCACAAGGCTTCCAGCTGGGAACAGCATGTCGGATGAGCTCGCTATCTCAGCACTGTACCTGTGTTCAATCACAGCGTATAGTGATGTATGAACAAGGGAGAGCTTTCCTTTACATCCACTTCTATAATGAATTATGCACAATGATGGCAGCAGTGTGACATAAGACACCTCCTCTACTGGGTTTTGGTCCGTGAAAGGGTCAGACTACACTTTTGTGTTAACGACATGCTTTGCTTAAACACCCAAAAGCAAACCGTCAAGCTCAAATTTCTCTGAGCCAACTGCTGCTGTTGTTGGACATAAAACAATGTTTTAAAACAGACAATACAGCTGAGGGTGTGTTACCCTCTCTGCATCACAGCTGATCGAGCCTAATTCATACCTAGTAGATGCATATCAGCTGAATGGGTAACACAATATTATGTGACAAAAATTGTATTCTTAAAACTTCTTTATGTAAATTTGAGTCAGCAGGACTTTTGAAGTTTCATGTGTGTTTATGTTTTCCAGATTCTTCTATGGGGACGAGTCGCCCTGGCAACCAGCCAGCAGACATTTAAACCCAAACCATGATCAATATCTAACCCTAATCAAATCAATTTTATTGTCTAAACCTCACCAAATATGTTTTTTAAATTAATAATATATCAAAAATAACACACATGAAGTCTGTGAGGTCTATTTGGGTGAACATTTTTCATTTAATACTTGAAATTTTGCCATTAGAACTTGAGTTCAGTCCACATAAAATAAAATAAAAAGATATATAATTAATGTTTCATCCAAATTGTAGCATATGTCTGTGCATGTCTCTGTTTCGGTTTGGTAGGTAACACCTGACTAAATGATCACACCAAAATAAAGATTTTTGTGCTACTTGTCTTCATGATTTAAAAAAAACTAATGCAAAAAACGAAAACTAAAAAAAACAGATGCAATGATAAAGCACAATAATGCTAACATCCAAATCATTTATATAAGGTCAGTTTTCCAAGTACATTAAAGCAGATGAGTCAGTAACTTTCTTACCCTCCTTTGTGTATGTCAGCAGACGGAGGCCTCTTATTGGCAGTCCCATCCTGGTGCACCTTCTTATCCAGTGACAGCGACAATGGAGCGTCTCGCACAGGCAGCCCCAAAACCAGCGTCTCCTTAGTAACTGAGACTGCTTCATCGCCAGTTCGACCCATGTGCTTCTTGGCATAGTCGAAGCCCTGGACAGGCTGTTGGGGGGGAAAGGACAACACATAATGTTTGAATTTGCACAGTCAAAGCTAATCCAGCTTTCAGCACAATCCAGTCAGGAGTCTTTGGATTGATGGACCAAAAGCAACTTGAGACATGAAAACAAACATCGACTGTAGAGCACATGCAAAGACATCAAAAAAGACAATGCAACCGTTTCTGATATTCTGTACATGGCAGATGCTGATGAGAGGGAAATATTGTAAGTCAGTTTACTTTAAAACTCACAAAAAATTAACAATATATAACAATATATCAGCCACAGAATGTGCAGATCTAGCATGAATGAAAAGAGCACTTGACACCAAAAGAATAACTGAAGAATCAAAAGTGCGAGGCAGGATTTCTTGCAGAATTTAACATCAGAGTTTTCCCATTTACATTATTGGTAAGCTAGTTTTCAGTTTAATCATATATGTTATACTGATGCATTTCAACAAGCAAACAAATAGAGCCAATAGCCAGCTGAAGCATATTAGCCAATTGTGTTGTTCCCATGCATGCATACAGCTAATGTTCACGACAGTTTCAGCTGTGTGGTGGCAGATGTCTTTTCTGCCTGTTGCCATAGTAAAGACGTAAATACATCTGCACTTTTTATTGTCTTTGCCTACTGTTTTGTGACATCAGTTGCCCATTGTTGCATTGTTCAGTGCACAACACCTTTTATCCTGATATAAGCACTCTGGATTGAGCGGTAATTGAAGCCATAATGTTGGGTAACACACTTACAGCAGAAGCAAAAGCTTAAAGTTTCATTTGGTGAGAAGTCACCACACTTTAGAAAAGCTCAAGTTAAGGCTCCTTCTTTTACTGATAAGAGCTACTTAAGTGACACATATAGAATTTTACTTTGTAAACGTTTGCCAACTATTTGCAAAGCCTAAACACTTGGATAGACTTGCTGCGCATGTTCTATGTAGGGCTCTGGCTATGACAGCAAAATTTTTTAATTTTTCCTTGTTGTCGTTTGCCTTCAGTTTCTGAGCCTTGCACAGGATTCAAAAACTCCCTGTGCATAGGCTTTAATTTTAAATTTTGAATTCCCACTCAATACTGCTGCTCCGAGAATGTAACCTTAAGCTTTGATCCATGAGTTTAGGTTTTTTTTTTGGTTGTTTTTTTTTAATAGACTGCTCATCATGTAATAAGCCCAATAGCAGTACCAGCTGGAGTTGATCTCTGTGGCACACACACACCTATCACATGCCTGGTGTAGCCATTTCCAGTGATTAAAGCAGAAGCATAATGCTGCAGCTTCAACTCTATTATTGATACAGTCTATTCACTGGGTTTGTGTGTTTCTATACTTTTTTTTATCCATTTAAAACCTTCTGTTTCACAAGCTGGGCTATTGCATCTTAAATGTTAAAGTGTGTTTATTATGTTTTTCCTTTTCAGATTTAACCTCTGTGTGAATAGATATGTCAGTAAACACCATGAACGCCAGCGATGGGACTGCCTTTGTTTGACTGGACTGATAGATGAAAGACTTCAACTCACTTTTCAATTCATAAAACATTTTGAGTCCGTTGTCACCCTGAGCTTTTCACGCTAGCTGCAGCACTGAACAACCTGATGTGGGTGAACAGCGCTCAGAGTTCTACCAGCTGACACGACATGGTCTCCTGAATACTAAAGAAACATTTCCAGATAAGTGTTGCTTCTATTTCAGATAAAAGTAATTGAATGGACATCCCTCCCTGAACCTTTTTTTTTTTTTATCAGTCTCCAAACACCAGAGCTGGCATAATGAAAAGTTGAAAAATAAATAAATAAAAAAAGATTAACAGCACCTTTGAAGTCAGGGGTTTTGGCATAAAGAGACAGAACATAAAAAGAGGCGGCAGCAAAAGCAGTCTGAAAAGCCTCCGAGGCCTGGACACAATCTTTGTATTCAAATTAAGAAAAAGCGTTTAGCGCGCAGGAGTGAAAAAAAATAAAGCGTGGGGGGGAAAGAAAATTTCAATTTAGGTTACACAACCACGTAGATGAAACCCAGATTGAAAAAAATAATAAAAATTGCCGCCTCTTTTCTATTTCGAGCAGCTCTAAAATGGGACGTCTAATGCATTTGATGATGCATGCTAAATTCTGAGTGCGTGTGAGGTTAGGCAATGCGTGCATCCAGCTGACGGCGTTGTTAATAATTCATCAGTCATACACACCGCTGTACCATCAGCGAGCTCCAACACACGTGGCTGCAGACGTGGATGAGTGCCGGGGAAAGTGATAGGAGCTCAGATAGAGACGGAAAGAGAGCGCTACACCGTAGGCCCTCTCACCATGCCATAAATATATATGGATTGAGTCCATCTTTACACGCATATTCTACCAACTGAATTGATGTATGTTGACAGTTGCTGACTCTTTCATGTGAAAGACCTATGGAGAGTGCAAACACTCATTTGCCTATAACCTATGAGGAGAAAAGAAAGGGCAACGTGCAAGGTAGGAGCACAAGATGTGCTGTTGCAAATATGTCCTTCCACCAGTATGCATGTGGATTATCACAGCACAGGCATAAGGTTTCGTGCCACGGGTGCTGAAATGGCACTGAACTGCAGGTGATGGGTAAAGTCATGCATGGAGACAGTATGAATTCTCAGAAATGACAAAGCCGAGGGGATGTAACCTTGAAAAGCAGGCTGACATTTCACCGCTCACATTTGATTCATGATCGTTCTTTCTCTCTGTTCTTTTCACTTCCACACATCTGTCTATTCAAATTGTCTCTGCCCTTTCTTCCTTTCAGGACTTTCTCTTTTCCCATTCTCCCTGCCTTGTCATCTCGCTCCCTCGTTTCCTACGTCCACTGACAGTGTGTTGACTTAACAAATGGCCGTCTTTCATCTTACGCGAGCGGCCCAGTTTAATGAAGACTTGAAGCCCGTGCTATGGGGTGATCCTCTGATCTCTCTGTCGGAGATGGATGGTGTTTTTCTCCACATCCATTTAGAACAGCACCAGAAGAAAGAAGGCGAGGAGAGAGAGGAGGACAGCAGCAAGAAGTCCGGGATTTCTTCCACTTGAGGATGTCATATGAAGTCACTCTGAGCACGACTCTGTGGCACCACCAGATTATCCTCCCTTTTTTCCCTTCAGTATCACACAGATGCTTCTCCTCTTGTCTAATTTTAACTCAGAGCAATACCCAACAGCAGCTTGATGAGGTGCAGCAGATGGATGAGATATGCTCTTTTCCCCCTGTGGCCATATTGATTTAAATTCAGCTCCAGCAGGGCTGATGGCGGAAGCACAGCCAAGAGATGTGCTTAAAAATTTTTTTAAAAAAGAGACTAGATGCATAATAAAAAAAATAAAGTAAGGCTTGATTGCACATCAACAAGGTGCTGCAGCGGTTAGATAAACTCCTTCAGGGGGCCAGTCGAGGCATGATGCAGCAAAATGCAAAATACCTTCAGTCCTTTAAATGGCAGCCACTGCATTGTGCACTCACTGAACACCTTACAAATGAAAAATGGATTTCTTCTACTTTCGCTGATTCCACCTCTATTGTACTCCACATGGAGGCCAGCTATCTGAGGCTTTCATGCGTATACAAGGCGGCACAGAGGGAGGAAAAGCCATTTTGAAGAATGTTCCGGCTGCACAGCAGAGTGATAAAGTGAGGAGGAAGCAGCAGAATCCCTCTTTAATGCTTAAACACACATGCAGACCTAATATAAGTCACAGTATTGATCAGCAGCTTTAGCTTGTCCTGCACAGCGTGGGAATAGTTCACGCACACATGCGCACGCGGGCACAGTTGCACACAGGAGGTCAACTTGATGGAGTCTGCTTGGTATTCAGATGACTTAACAGAACACACACGCAAGCCAGCTTAAGACACGGACTCCGTTTACGCCTGAAATTTGTATGGGATTTATATCTGCATGTCCCGTGGAGGAAAATTCAAGATGTATACACAAGCACTAAAATTAGAATGTGTTGTAGAAAAAAATGAAATGACAACATTGGATCTTTGCCGGGTGTAAATGCGATCTGCAAGGTGTGACCACAAATCCAGCCAGTAACTTCTAATCAGCTCTTCTGCTTCTTTCTTCTTGAAAATTGAAAATTAGACATTTTCAAGCTAAATTAATCAAATTAAGCAGTCGTCTTCTAGCATTTCAGTCTTTTTACTTTATAACTGCCTTTTGTGTTTTTCTTTTTCCCCACTGTAGCTCAGCAAGACAACACTTCCTATGAGGAAACACACTGAGGGAATTTGGTGCTACAATAACTCACTCTGCAGGACTGGCTAGGCTGTTAATCTCAGTAATGCGTACCGTGCTTTATGCTCCTTTTGGACTCTAATGGGGATTATAATTTTCAAAATGAACATCTTATTGTATTCAGTAAGACTTGAAACTAGCAACTAAGATCATGAAGTCATTACAAAACTGAGGTAAACAAGGAGACGTTCATACAAGTGGGGGTCTTTCGTTGCAACCACAATCCTCACCCTCTCCAGGCCATTAGACAGAATGCAGGGTTAGGGCACAGGTATAACATCTGGGATGTTAGCTTTGGGTGGTGAGAAACAAATCAAAATGTATATACCAGAGAAACTAAACAGCTGACTCCTCAAAGTGCAATAAAATTATGAACAAGGCACCCGACTAATGAAATAACTGTTGAGTTAAAATATTCCACCTTGATTACATCTCATTAAAGTAAGTTATTGAAATCACAACTGTTTTTTGGAACAGTCTATATAAGCGTGTATTTTTGCTGTAAAGCTGGGCAGATTGTGGACCCTCGAGTTGCCATTTAAAGACCTTCAGTTTTTGGCAACCCAGAGGTTGCTGCTTGATTGCACAGAACAAGAACTGCACGCCATTCCCACTCTCTTTTTTATCATTTCTTCTAACATCTGGCCTTTCTTATGTAAGCAACAAAAAAAAAATTAAAAAAATTAAAAAAAAAAAAAAACACCAGCCAGTACTGAATGTAGACTGGTCAGTATACATGCCGCCATGAGAATAATTTAAAAAGACCAAAATTAACTGAAAGTCTCTAACTTTAGTTTTCAGCTCCAAACTTAACTCCTGTTAAATATTTATCTGATTTATTGAATGCACATCTTGCTCGGGTTTGGGAGAGAGTAAATACAGTGGTTGTAGCTTCACGGCGCCACTTATAAAACCTCATATTTTGGGCCTCTTTAATATTTCATGCGCTCTCTTGTGAAACAGCCCATTAAATGTTTACAAACAGTTACGAAAGCAAACAAACCTTGAAGCTGGAAAATTTGAATGTTAATGTATAATACTAAAAGAAGTGGAAAACACTCAAACCCAACACGTACATGTATTTTCCGAGGAGTCTACACATACTAGCTCCGTGTCCAACCAAAGACATCCCGCCTACCCCTGCATGCACCGTTCCCTCGGCTCGCTTTGCATCTTGAGGGATGAGGATGAGAAAGGCTGGACCAAAATAACCCTGATATGTTCCACCGCAGTAACACTAACCACACTGATGGCCTCTGCACAGTTCTTTGTCATTTAAGGCATTTTTAAGCATCTTTATCTGTTGGCTCTGTTGCTGCTCTGCTTTGAGTTCATGATCATATCATTTAGTGGAAAAACCACATATAAAAAAGGGAATGGGTTGGAGGTCTGTGTGCAGGGATCCTGCTGTGCCACTGCAGAATGTGAGCAGGATAAAACAACCGGTCTGAAAGGGAATGGCAATAGCAAATAAGCCAAGGCTGATGACACAAGCTTGTGTCACTCTTTATGGATGCTACAAAAATAAAAATAGATCAATTTGGTTCGCAGATGTTGAGCTTCATTTTTGCAATTCAAATTTATGGGCCCCGGTTAAAAATGGATTCTTCTTCAGGCCAATAGTATTGAGCTCATTTGGCTGTTTTTATGAGCCAGCATTTTATCAGCCTATCAACTCAAACCTAAACATTTTAAATCTCACCGAGCATGCTTTAGATATTTCTTCACCTGCTCTCAATGCTCCCCCTTCCAATTTCCTATTGATCTCTCGTAGCCAATGAGAATGGTGGAAAAAGTGATGTCCACAGAACAGCAGCCGCATGCAAGAATTTACCCGGCAACAAGGACACACAGAACACAGAGTGATAAGCAGCCAACAAAGCAGTTCAAGCAACTGTTCAAACCCTATTAATTAATGAGAATAACAGCAACTCATTCATTCATCCACTGACTCTATCAGTCAGCTATACACCTTTCAGGCGTCTTAGTGAATACCTGGTGGTGGTAACTGCCCTCCCTTCGATATGAAGTCTGAACAGGGAAGAGAGGGAAATGGTCAGGAAAGGGTTATTATAGAATAGAATAGAATAGAATAGAATAGAATAGAATAGAATAGAATAGAATAGAAAACAGGTGGATAGGGGAGGAAGGAATGCATCAAATGTTCCGGTTTTGGCCATCACTCTAATCTGGGTTAATAAGGCTGTATTCACCGAGTTCAGAATGAAACAAGAGTAGCAAAACAATCAAAGTAGGATACTTCTGACATGCCTACCATGTCGAGCTATAAAAAAATGTGTATTTTAATTTAAGAAAATATGTTGGACACTTTTTTAAGAGAAAGATCACTAAACACCTCATGCTATGGTGAGTTTTACCCACGGCAAGAACATTCAATGTGTGAAAAAAGGAATTTTAGCTCATCTCCCTTTAACATGGCAGTCTGCTTTATTATGGACTGTCCATGGAAAGTAGCTGGGTGGGGCTTTGCACTTACACCCAGATGTGTGTGCCTGAGATGACCATTGTAGGGATATCAGCTCCCTTTGATATCATAAAGAGCAAAGAGTAGGAAAAATTATAAACAAAGGTTATTCAAACCTATTTGGTTGGAAAAGCAACAATAAAAGGCAAACTTTTACACTTTCCCTCCACCTAACACAGTCTACAAACCCCTGGAAACTGTACTTATGTGCCACTTTATAACAACATTATAGGCAAATGAAGCTTTAGTTTTATCCAATAAAGTGTTTTTTCTCATTTCTTACTATTTGGTGGGTACAGAAGTTTTAGAATTGAATTTATGGCCAACGCTATATGATGAAATATCTGTAATCAGTCAGCGTTATCCTTTAATGTGCACATCCGTAGCCTACTGTGGTGCAAACGGGCTGCAATCAATTCAAATAATGGAAATTATCTGCAGGCTTTTCCAGTAACTCAGTGAGTCACTTCGCTTTGTTTTGGGCTGTGAAATGTGAACATGGTTCACGTGGATTTACAACCAGCCACATCCCATAAGTCAAGTCAATGCATGTGCTGGAGTGGAGACCTAATGATGATATCGAATTTGAACTTAAAGGCGATCAAATTCTGAACACCCCTGCAAGAATTTTCTGAAGAAATGAGGCTGGCGGGCTTGCTGCTTGTTTAGCACTTAACTGACTGCAGTGACACCAGCAGCTGTTGTTCTGGCATCATGTGCTGCACGGTGTCAACCTGACCCGATCAAACCCAGCTGGTAGCAATCCATAACAAACATGCCCATTGCAAATGATTGACTTTTACTTAACCTCACACTGGCTCATGTTGGCTGAATGCTATTATTGTGAAAGGGCCAACATTACCCTAAGGTCCACTTCCAGCACAACAGGGCCTGCCCATTTCCTTTTGGTCATTTGGTCTTTGCAGCATGCATGATTAGCAGTAACCATGGGCTATTGGGCAGTGAGAAAACAAATGAGTAATTCCGGGACAGATGGGATTCATTTTTCTGACCTGAAGGAACGGCTTAACACACTCGTTACTCTGCGCAGTTTGTCACTCATAACAGGGTTATGTAATATTTTAGAAGATCCAATTTCTAGTATTGGGATTTGTTAAAGTGAAGCAATGACATTTAGATATTTTAGGTTAATTATTTTTTTCCTCTTCTGCTATAAATACTGCAACAGTTGAGCTGCAGTATTTATAGCAGGAGGGGAGAAAGGAGCAGAAAAAGCAGCAAAGGGAGAGAAAAAGTGGACAGACACAAACACAAAGGGCAATAAATAAAGGCAGGAGAAAGGGATAAAATCTTACCTTGGATCGAGTTTTAAAGGTCCTGAAGGCGCCCGTTTTAAAAAGGACCCTGTTTCTCTTACACAGAATGAAGGCCACCATCCCGATCACCACCATCAATAAGAAGAGAGGCGTCAGAACGGCCATGATCCACAGGTTGCTGGGCGGTGTCTTTACCACAGCTGCACACGAACACAAATGGGTTCAGTCATTAAAAACAATACACTGTATAACAAGTTAATTAAATATCTTTACAAGAGCTTATTAGGTAAACTGATTCAGGCGGTTTTCCCAGATGCCTCATTAACAATCTCTTTTCCACCTCCATGTTTTTCCTTCTTGGACTTCACTAGCAAGGCTATGCATGATTCACAGCTCAAAATATGCTGGACATTGATGCTAAGCCACTGCCTGAAACAAGGCAACATCTGATTGGCTCCTCAGCACAAGTAAAACAATTTAAACAGCAGGTGGGTGTGGCTTCTGCATAAGACCCAGAGGTTTTAAGAGAGAGAGATGTGGCACTGAATTAAAATCACACAGTCAATGCTGTCTGCCAGAGATGAGCATGTTAAAGACATCACTACTCTATGACGTCATAAAAAGCCAGGAGTATAAAAAGCTGTGGGAAAATAAAGCGTGTAGAGAGTCTGAAGCCTGAGCTTTTAGATGACAGGGATTGCTTGTTTTGAATGTATATCCAATATCAAAATCAGGCAACAACTTGAAGTTCACCAGAGTTTTGAACTAATAACGTATTTCTCTGAGTTTCTCTTCAACACAGCAGTTTACCAAATGGATGCATCTCCATTACAAGAATTAATGTAGATGGTTTCCACTGAGGCCATGAAAGCAAAGCAAATGAATTTTACAGGAACACTGTGTTCAGCTCCCTGCCCAAACACTGTGTGGAGGAGCTGTGAAGGGCACACATGGTTGTTGGTGTCTTTCCAGTTTCTGTATAACTCAGAGGGAGAAAAGGTAAGGGGGAACATTTTGTCCTCTCCAGCACAAACAATACGAACAATAGTTACTCAAAGAAAACTGACCTGAAAAGCATATCTAACTACAGCGTCTTCTTAATTTAGAAAATCCTGTTATGCGTTATTTTATTTCTATTTCATTCAAAGCTCTTTTAGATGCACTGAGTATAACTGAAAGTTAATTTAAACCCAAATGTCACAGTAAGCCAACACTGCTGTGCCCAAGTTTAGCAGATCTCTCCTAAAGAGGAATGTTTTAGCAGTGTGGGGTCTCTACAACTGCTACTAAATGAGAAATGTGCTCTGTGAGTTGATTCTGCGTCTATAATATCTCACACTGACAAGATTTGTGTTAATATTCAAAGAAAAAAAGGTCCACGTACTTCATTGCTCCTATTTTTATGCTAATTAATTCTAAATTCTAGACTAAAATCTGCAAGTGTTAGAACAAATGGGAACAGATCTTTTTTATACCAGACATTTTGACTTGTCACAGCAGGAAAAGCACTTAATGAAACATTAATAACTTAATGGAGTCATCTTTCACTCTCTGCCATAAAGTGATCCCGTAAGCCGTGACAGTGAACCAGCATGCATGACAGTAGAGCCGCTCCAAAGTGAAATGCAGCCGTCATTAATCCGTCTACTGTGCAAAAACATCAATAGTTGATCAATATGTACTTGGATTACACATTTCAACTTTGACAAATTATGCATTCATTTAGGACCTTTACATCAAGGATTTAAAACAACAGATCAAAATTTACTATAGCAACTGCAATTCCTAAGCAGGTAACTACAGAGAGCTAAAATCACTGCTTGTAAAACTAGATTTTCAGCCTGATGAACACCCCGAAAAATTTTAACAGCTGCTTTTTTAACAGGCTGTGAAGCTTGTGTTTGTCCCAAAAACTGCATTTCCACCTCAATAAGCTGTGGCAAAACCAAAAAATGCCACAAACAACCAGCAAACCTGTTTTGAAACTCCTTACATTATCTTTCTTGTCAAAACTTACTAAATACAATTATTACATTGTGTATTTAATTCTTTTAAAAAATACCTTTTATTATAGTCAAAGGAGCTTTCAAAGAAAAGCGTCTGGACTTCTTTAAGTTGCTTGAAGACGTTTCACCTCTCATCCGAGAAGCTTCTTCAGTTCTAAGGTCAAATGGTGGAGAGTCCCAGATTTAAACCTAGTGGGAGTAACCCCTCACAGAGGGACAGACCCCCTGATGATCCTCTAATCGCCTGAGCCAAGGTGTGAAACTGGGTGTGGGTCCCAATCAGCCAGGGTTTCGGGTGAGCTCGTTGTGCAACCTGGCCCCACCTTATCATGCGAATTCCTGAGGTCAGATGGCCCAGGATGTGAGTGAGCATTAAGGCGTCTGGGGAGGAAACTCATTTGACCTTAGAACTGAAGAAGCTTCTCGGATGAGAGGTGAAACGTCTTCAAGCAACTTAAAGAAGTCCAGACGCTTTTCTTTGCAAGCTCCTTTGACTACGATGACCTGGATGACTGAGAACCTTCACAGACACCTTTTATTATATAAATATTCTTGTAAACACTGGTTATATATTTAGGTTCTGAACCTGTTTGTTGGAAGCTCATAATTATGCTATAAATATACAGTTAGTATTAAGGAAAAAAATAGCCCGCTTGTTATTTCCCAAATTGCACCCCACTATGGTTTAAGTTGATAACAATACTATACTACTAATTTAGCATATATTTTGCGAGCATACTTAGTAGTTAGCAACTGTAAGAGGAGAGGTAACAAGAAAAGCAATTGTATCAACTCTAGTTCACAAATTTACAAATAAAGTCCTTCTACATTTTGTTTTGTTTTTTATCACAAAGATACACACAATTTAAAGCCAATGTTAGTGTTATACTGCAGGCATGAAAAACTAAGCCAAAGTCCTAAAAACTGCAGTTTCTGAAGTGGCCACTTGAGCCTGGCTTCAAAAATGAGTCTCCACAAAAATGCCCATATTTACAGCAATGCATGTTTACAGCCTGATCCAAACAACAGCTTTGATCTTTATAGCCAATATGTCATAACTAGTCTATGCTGGGTGAATTTATAACTTACCAGTTTTGGTAGTTTTTGACAAGCTAAGCCTGCTCAGCCTAGCTTGCACCCTAGCTAGCTTTCTGGCTACAACAATCAACATGGTCATAGCCAAAAAACTGACACTTACATTTTGTTACATTAAAATAGCTTTTATGCATAGTGACACTGGGATAAATAAAGCCCTCTTTTGTGTGACTTGCCTGGTCCCTGATATTCATGATATATGACAATGTAACTGAATACTGGAGGAGTATAATGAGAAGCTTACGTTCAGCCTGGACTTGTACAAAGTATCCCAGGGTCAGAGCCATGGTCTGGGAGTCCAGACTGCTCAGTGTCTTAGCAGCTGTGGTTCCAGAGATGGGTGCTCCATTCAGCTGGGCATAGTAGGTCATCTCTGCTGGGTTCTTGGGACCGGGAAGTCTACGCATGCTCACCATCTGCAAGAGAATGGGGATGTCATAAAACCTTGAGTAATATGAGAAAAAAATGTTTTACCACAGTTCATACTCATAAAACATATTATATGGCAAGATTTAACACAAAATCCAAACTCTCTTTCTCTCTACCGAGCAAAGGATTAAAAATTCTTGCTGGTGGCCCAATCAAAACTCTGAATCAGCTCAGTTGCTTTAATCAAGTCGAGCATTTGGTGGAAGATAACTACAATTGGGGAAGACACTCGAGGATAACTGAGTCACTTGAAATCTCAATTTCCTTTCATCATACATCAAACACCATTTTTAATTTGACAAACATTACACGGTTTAATAAAGTCCGGTAATTTGATTTTGTCATAAGAAGAAGGGATGTGTGTTATTAAATGGCTGGATGATTTCTCCACTGGCTACACCCCGCACCACCCTTTCTGTCTCTCTCTGCCAGCCTCTCCCTCCTCCACTTTGCAAGCATAAAACCGGTCATCCATGGCAACCATAAAACCTTACGGGTGTGTAAGGCATAAGGCCCAGGAAGAGTCAAACATTGTCTTAATTTGCACAATATGGAGCAGTGGAGCCAGGAGGTGACAAATCCCCAAAAGTCATGCACACGCACACACACACACACACACACACACACACACACACACACACACACACACACACACACACACACACACACACAGGGTTTTACTAGAAAAACACAATGAAAATTAACTTACTGGCACTTGAGACCTATTTATGACAAATTTAAGACTTTATTTAAATATTTGGGTACTGCTTTTAAAGGTTTGACATTGTAGTGGTGTCTCAGTTTTCATAAAGTTTGCCCTTTCCATGTCAGTTTTCTGGCAGCGTACTTCATGCTCCCCTGCAGTTTATGCGCTCAGAATATCAGCATTCTTGAACGCAACAACAGTTTTGAAACCCGTCCCCGCTGACTACTGTCAGTAGCGCTGTCCAGGGTGCTAAATCTGGAGCTGTCCAGGGACACGCAGACTTTCACAAATAGTAAGTTTGCAATTTCCCAAAGCCCTGCCAGAAGGGGGTTCAGGGAATGATACTGACACTATGTTCATTGATAGTTCTTCCAGGGCAAATGTGAATGTTATTTATTACATTGAAATTTTGCATGGCTTAGAGGGAGGGGAAACAGAAACTTAAAACTCAGGATGAACAGAGGAAACAAGATTTTTGATTATTATGAACTGTGAGTTGTGCAAAGCTACCAAAGTGTAATATAAGAACAAAATTATGTTGCTTGAAATTATCATAGTAGGTCCTCTATATCACCACTTTGAGCATCGTTAGTACAGCAAAGACATGTGTAATGTGAATTACAGTAAATTACAGATTGTATAAGCAGAGTGAAGGCATATCAAAGACAACCATGACTATAATTATTGTTATATTTTTCCAGTAAATATACATATTAATTTGTTTTTGAAGCACAGAAAGGAGTTTAGAAACCAGATTCTACTGTGAGCTTCTGAGACTCTGTCCCACATTTTCTGGAAAAAGGTAGATGTCTACAGACCGAATGTGAAATCCCAATACCTAGAGCTATCTTAATAAAAGATTAAAGCTAAACCTGAATCTCTAAAAAAATAAACCTGAGTAGGTGAACACTGTGTACCAGTTTCTAAATACAAAAGGTGATGACACTTATAGAGGTGCAAAGTGTTTTTCTTCCCGTATGGAGGAAGCAGAAGACACCATCATCACAGCCACACACTGAGATCCACAAATCCCATTTCCACCTACCTGTACGGTGTAGCCCCCCACAGTGGTGGCCCGCCGGGATCTCGCCGTCCGAGGGCCCTGCCTGCCAGCCACCAGGAAGAGCTCAGCTAGCCGTTGCTCCATAAGACTGGCAAAGCTTTGGTAGTTGACCTCCAGGGAGGAGCTGTCTACATCCTGGATCACTGTGAGTCGAGACAAGAGAGGACAGAGGAGGGATTTTGAAGGGGGGGGGTTCAGGCAGTCAAAGAGAAGAGAAACCGGAGACAAGTGAAGAGATGGAGGACAGGAAGGAAAATACAAACAGGACAAGAGCAAAGGGAGGAAAAGAGAAAATAGGTGTGAGGAGGTGATAAAGAGAGAGAATGAGAGTGTAAAGACAAATTAGCTGAAGACAGTATTAATAATTGAGAAAAAAGAAGGAAAATAGATAAGAGAAACAAGCAGACAGGAGATGAGTGGGCTATCAGAGAGGACTGGGTGATTGTCCCTTCAATTTAATAGCTGATCATCTTGAAACTTCTATCAGGGCTACAGCGGCACACAGATCAAACAGTCTGTCTGTATCACACACACGCAAACATATAAACAAACACACACGCACAAACAGATGAAGGTGCTTGCATCAATCTTGATCTTGAGTGTGCGTCTCTTACTAGAGGC